AAGACTTGACTCATGCAAGTGCCTTGAAAGACCATGCTATCTCCCTCTTACCTCCCTCCCCGTACTCCACCTCCCCTCCTAATAACCAGACCAATAATCTCAGCATAGACTGACTGGGGATATGCGAGGCTGAGTAAGGAGGAGAGACGAAACACAGAAGGAGTTATGGCCAAGGTAGTATGCTTGGGACTGATTGCTGGAGTTGCTGACTCAGGAGAGTAGAACATACAATTAAGTAAGGGAGAGTTTGAAATGGAAGTAATCTCTTGTGAAATAAGATTTAATAGACCACAAAGGACCCCAGAGACTGTGCTGATATAGTGCTGGGAATGCTCCTAGAAGCTTGGAAAAAGTGATGGCCACACTAAGTGGAGAAGTACCAGAACTGGCATGGCAATGGCAGGTGGTAGAGGAAAGGATCAAAAGGCACAAAGAACTGGGCATGCGAAGATGGAAATACTACTTAAATCTAAAAACTGCTACCAGCCAAATATATTCTCCATTCTGCGGGAAGGCAAGGGGCACCAGCATCACTGAGCAGCTTATTGGTGGCTGTCCTCTTCCCCAGCTTAGGTCAGGGATGGTGGCAGAGATGCTGTTATAGAACTAGGCTCTCTGAGAACAAAGAGGGATTATAGTTAGCAGTCTTTATACATCAGAAGCAAGGTACGTACAATTACCACAACTAGCAACAAGCTCGGAGTGGTGCCAAGGGAGGTCTGACTTGCAGGGCACTATGAGATGGTTAATTACCAGGAGCAGGCAGGGCTGCTGCTGCACAATGGGGTCAGGGAAGAATATGGTTGATGTTCAGTGGTGACCTCTGGTGTGTCTCTGGTGCTTCCATGTCCAGTTTTAACAATCAGTGGACAAGTGCAGGACTATGGCCTGAGAAGGCCATGATAACCAGGGACTCACGTCCCTTAGGGATGAGAGTCTGGATTTTCCCACCAGACAAGCCATCTACACCGGCAGAAATTGAACATCGGTAGTGGAGGAAGGGGATGATGAGTACTAGGTGTGGCCTCCTAAGTACATTGTGTCCATTCCGTGTGGAGGTAGAAGAGGTTTGATGAATATACATGGTATGTACATGGGCTCCTGGGTCGTGGCAAATAGTTTGACTGATTGGTGAGGGGGTCTAGAAGGAAGAGAACTGGGAGACTGGCGACAAGGAAGGTTGGGGAAGACGTAAGTAGAAAGCCTGCAGGAGTGCCACAAAGCATGTGTACCCTTGAGTCTCTTGTGACGGACCTCCACAGAAGAGGCTCTTCACAAACAGGTGAAGAGTTTGACCCATCCTGTGGATATTAATCAGCCTTTCTCCTTAGCCATCCTGATGGTTGCTGAATGACCCATGGATGTAGTGATCATAGTAGAAAGGATTGAGGCTGTCCATGGCCCAACACCATGTGAGTTGCGCTCATTAAGTCTGAGCTAGCTTCTGCTACTGCTAAGTCCAACCCACTAGCTGCAGAGGTGGACGCTGAACCTTCAGCCTGCCACCATTCCTCAGAGAAGCCACATGGTGGTCGTTCAACCACATCTAACCCCTGACACCTGGGAGGGGGCAGCAGTTCATCTTACTGGAGTCAACACATACTTCGGATACAACACATACTTGCCTGTTTGCAGTGCTTCTCCTAGCATTACTATCTGATCCATCAACACTGTAGCTCCCACGAATTGCCTCAGGCCACGGAACCCATTTTTTGACAAAAAAATAAAAATAGGAAAAGAACAGTGACTCATAGACTCATGACCAAAGGGTTACAAGTACTTTATCACCCAGTGGTAGCCTGCCTGCTTAAATGGTTGGACAGCCTATCGAAGGCTTGGGCGCGATCTCTTGTACTGTTGGAGCACTGTATTCTGGGGAGCAGGAGATGTATCCAACCACCGGCTGGTATATGCTACTTGATCTCCAGTAGCTAGAGTATATGGGTCCATGAAGGTTGGAAGTAAGGGTGGCTCTACTGACTGTCATACTTGATGACCCACTTGTGAAATTTGTGCTTCCTGTTCCCAGAGTATGTATCTGTTACACACAAGATACGTGTGTACATATGTGTTTGTGTGCACACATGCACACACATATACGATGAATATAATGACCATGCTGTAAAGCATACATTCAAAACCCTGGAGACTGCAAACATGCCTTCCATTTAAAGCAGTGTGTTACATTTATGCTGATTTAATCATTAACATTAGTAAGAGGCCAGTTATACTGTTCAAGAGTTAAGATGTTTTACGAGCAAATGACGAAAAGATACATGTTATCATTGCAATGCCAGTTTACCATCAGATAGGATATGCAATAATCCCTTTAGCAAGCTTAAGCTTTTACATATTAATGGCAGTATTGGAGAGCAGGAAGATGCCTTTTACGGCACTGCTGAGGTCCTTACAATAAAGAAATGCCTTTGCTACTTGGCCCTATTACTGGAATGTGCTGGGAGAATAATGCTGTTTCGTGGGCTCGTCCCTCCCCACGACTGGGGCCTGGGGTGGTTTTTTAAAAGCAATGCTGTATAGCAATTAATAATGAGGAGGGGAAAAATTCATTTAGACGTTTGGCAACATCTTTGTGGCACTCAATATGGGTCTCATATAGAGTAGATTTGCCCTGCAGAGAAACACTAGAAACGCTTTATTCTTAAACATACGATTAACCAGCTGCCAGAGACAATAAAACATTTAAAACTTCTATTCCAGGGACCAAGTCACCATCTATAGGTCTCAGAGCTACTAAAATGTATTTTCAAATGAGCTGCAGGGCACGATGCATGTTTCCTCATGCGTAAAACAAAGGCCTTGGGTTAGATTATGGCCCCGCCAGTCCCCTCCGGACTACAGTACTTCACAATGTAAAGGCAAATCAAGTAGCAAAGAAAAGCAACCTGTTGACTTTGTGAATAAGAAACTAAAGAAAATAAATCAATAGTAAGTCAGAAGGAAAATGTCTTTCTTGGTTAAACATTGAAGGCTACTCTCATCCATTCTGAAAGAGAAGCTGAGGAAATATCTGGAGATATTCATTTCCTGGGTATCGCAATATACTGGACAAAGTATCTATCTTTTCTTTTGAGCTTGAAAAATTACAGAGATGACAACCCACATGTCAATCAAGAACGAAAAGGATAACTAAATGTGGAAGTCTATTCAGCAATGACAATGAGCAAGGAACAACACAGGTGCATCTCATGAATACAACATCGTGAGAAAGAAAGCCACAAAAGAGCACCGACTGCACGATTCCACCTGTTACAGTTCAGAAACAGGATCACTGGACTCTATTGTTGAGGATGCAGACATAGGTGGTGAAATCGTAGGAGAGAAGTCAGGCCACAAGCATCGCACAGCTCAGGATGGAGGTGCAGGAGGGGTGCAGGACGTGGTCACGGTTGGGAAAGGATCCGTGGTGCTCCTCAAGGGCTCTTACATTCTTTTTCTTGACCTGGATGGCAATCACATGGCCTTTGCTTAATAATTGTTTGTGAAACCTTACAAATGTATTTTATGCCTTTTTCTGTGTATACGTTGTTTCACCATACAAAGTACAGAGGGAAATTTACTTAAGAACATTGTATGCATTACCCAGAACTATCTAATTTTAACATGCTGTCCTTTTAAAAATAAAATAAATGGGACCCTAGAGATACAAGTAGGGTTCCCTTATGCGTCCCCCTCTCCCCCTGCTCTGAGGCAACGATGACATGAAGTTGGTGTGTATTCTTCCTGTCCTTGTTTTTATAATTTTCTACACATGTGTTTCATGAATAACGTATTTCCTTGAGCATGTTTGAACTTTCCTTGCCTTTTGCACCCAGCCTTGTTTGTAAGATCTGTCCATGTTGGTCCACATAAAGGGGGCTCTGCTTCTCCATGCCGTTTCTTCATCAGCAAATAACAATAATAATAATGGGTTTTCATGAGGTTGAAGTGAGTTAATATTTATAAAGCATCTGGCCTATAGTAGGAGCTGTATGTGCTTATATAAATGATCCAGGTAATTTATTAACTAATCTAATCATCTAATTTTACCTGCTGCATAGAATGCCATCATTTCTTTGTCCAGTTATTTATCTCTTTTTTACTGATGGACATTTAGGGATTTCCAACATCTGGAATTATAAGCAAGGCTGTAATATAAATAACTGTATATTCCTGCCTTTTAAAAACATCCATTTGGCATCTCCCCCAGACCTTCACAGGCCAGTGTGTTTTCTGGCTCCGACTTTGATAAGAGTGGGAGGGAAGCCCCAGAACAGAGCAAGGCTTCACATCTTTGGAATTCAAGGGCGGTTGTGAAAGCCTAGGGTTTTTAAGAATGAAACTCAAAAGGAGCTGGGGGAGGAGAGGAATCACTGAGAACTGGGCGCTTAGTGTTACGTATTTTGTCTATGTTATCTCATTGACATAGACAACAAATAGTCTCTCCATTTTTCAGATGAGGAAACTGAGGCCTGACTAGTTTAGGCTCGGATAGAATAGAAAGGATAATTGAGTGGACCCCCAAAGCCTGTGTCTTGTAAAAATCCTATCGCACTTGAGCTGAGGCCCAGGTAGGGGTCCCCCCTCCCGATGACCTTGACCAGAATCTTTGCCTGACTCTGCCCTTTGCAAAGGCCCAAATGGTGCTGGGGGTGTGCAGGGGCTGGAGGGGGAGAGGAGACAGGGTGGGAGAATAGAAAGGGATATGCTACAGAGATGATTATGGAAAGTTGACAGCTGCCCAGCACACTGTGTCCCTGGCAACACCTGTTGAGTCTGCCACAGTGGTGGTGAGTCAGATGAAGAAAGACCGCTGTATACAGGCCAACAGCAGCAGGATGCTGTGCTGGGCTCACACTCCGCCAGCAGAAGACGTGCCAACTTGCTGGCCCCCATTCAAATGGCTGGGTGTCGGCTGGGTTTGCCAGCAAATAAGCCCAGGGAATACATTTGCATTAACACCTCCCCCGGCTCCGGCCTCCCCTGTCCCTCCCCCGCTGCCCAGAACACAGTTCCTCTTCCCAGAATGTCATCTTCAGGCTGCTTTTCAGAACCTGTATTTCAGTGGAACATGAGGTAAGCCAGATGCTGTCCTGAATTGCCTCGAAGGAAGCCAGCATCAGCAATCGAGAGCAAGACCAAAAAAAACTCCATTTCAGGTTTTTGGCGGTTGGCTAGAAAATTATGCTCGGTAATTTTAATTTTTGGTGTGCGTGTGAAAAGAAAGAAAAGATGGGGTTTTACATTTTATCTCATGCAAACATTATGCTCACCCAGACCCTTCCTTTATTCGGCACCTTGAAATTCGGGGGATTCTCGGCTAAGCGGGGAGAGTTTCCCAATTGCAGTGGGATGTTACAGGAAAGTTTGGCGCTGCCTATGAAATTGCTTCCTAAGATGGAGAAGTGTTAGATATGTCTAATTTCTTCTTATCTTTTCTCAAGACTGGGAGGATACCCTTGAGGAATAAGAAGTCTCAGATCTGGATGAGGGAGTTTTTTCTCTGCACAGACCACTGTTCATGATTAAGAAAAGAGACCTATCCTATCTATCTATCTCTCTCTATATTATGGCATGTATCATTTTCATCCACTTCATGCCAGCATGCAGTAGAGGTGGTGAGAGCCGTAAAGCCTTAAGGAAGAGAGAAGCTTTGTGGATTATTGTTTTTTGATAGCCTTTCTCCCAGAGGTCTTAATGGGTAACTAGACCTCAAATGATAGAAATTACCCTGTTCTTTTTTCTGACCTTCACATCACACACATACACACACACACGCACACACACACTCGCGTGCACGTACGTGTGCACACACTGCATTTCCTGATAAAGGTTTTCACTCCATTTCAATGTGATGTTTGGGAAGGAGGATCATTAACACTTTTGATTCCGTTCCCTCTTAATGATGATAAATCTTTTTTGAGTAGCTTTTGGTTGAAATAATAAACTATGTCACAAATTCTTAGTGAAGCAACATGTTTTGAGTCAAAAATTTTATTTTAGGAATTTATTTCCCGGTTATACCTACCTACATATATAAAGGCACATGTACAATGACATTCAATATGGCATTTTTCAAATACTAGCAAAAGACTGGGAGAACCAATCTGTAGGGCATATCTCATTGATAGTACATCTATAAAAAAGAGCACTATGGAAGTGTTAAGAAGCATGAATTAGCTCTATAGGCTAACTTTCAAGATACATCAAGGGCAAAAAACAAGATCTAGAATAATCTGTGTGATGTGCTACCATTTGTGTAAACATAGAAAGGAAATACACATATACGTATATATGCTTATCTGCACATAGACTACGTTCAGAAGGATAAATAAGAAGCACCTAACAGTGGCTAACTCTGGGAATGAGGGCCAAGTGATCTGATACACAAATTTTACTATGTATTGTTTTGTACTATTTTAATTTTTTGTTATTATGTACATGCACCACATTTTCAAAAGTATAAAAAATAAAGTAATAAACACTTCTCACTAAGCTCTCAGCTTGAGTGCTAGATATTTAATTTCTAAATTCTTTTTGTTTTAAGCTGAGTGTGATGTCACACACAACTACTTTGACCATTACTACAGATTTGTAACTTGATTAAATCTAACTGCCTAGTGACTAGTTAGAAAATATGATTCAATGTAGTCAAAAGATCTGTTGTCACTATAAATGATGAAGTTCTTTTTCTTCCTCAGTCACATAAATCAGCTCAGAATAATTGTTGCTCACCATGAAATAAGATTGCTCTTAAGGACTTAACTGCCATAATTGTGCAATATTATTTGAGCACCCAACCCCTTATATCACATTTTGAAAGCATTTTGATGCTTTCAGTTTACATTCGTTCTTGTATATATATATTCACATGACCACATGACTCCATTTATAATAAAGAATGAGAGGAACTGGTGAAAATGTTTCATGGATCCAAGAACATACTTGAAAAGTTCATCTACGTTCACATCAGAATGCTGTCTCTTTTCTCTCTTCTGTAAACAGTATGTCAAAGAAATACATTGAAAGAGAGGAAATTTTTGCCTATAGAGTTCATAAGATATAAACAATTTTTTTGTTTTAGAGAGAGAGAGCAGGTGAGGTGCAGAGGGAGAGGGAGAGAATCTTAAGTAGGTTCCACACCCAGCGTGAAGCCCATCAAGAGCTTGATCTCATGACCTAGAAATCATGACCTGAGCCAAAATCGAGTCATTGCTTAACTGACTGAACCACCCAGAAACCCCAATATCGAAATTTTGATATTGCCCTTGAATAAAAGCACATTGAGCTTTATTAATTTATTGATTATTGCAGTATAGTTGATATACAATGTCATATTAGTTTGAAATGTGCAACATAGTGGCTCGACAATTTCGTACATTACTCACCGTTCACCACAATAAGTGTAGTTGAGCTTTAAATCAGAGGTGGGTTTGTTCTCTGTGGGGAATTTGGAGTCAGAAAATCTGAGTTTTTGTCAAATTCACCTCCAGCCTCTTCCAGTCTCAATACAATAGAAAATGAGTGTGAGGGGCACCTTGGTGGCTCAATCGTTGGGCTCCGACTGGCCTTCGGCTCGGGTCATGATCCCAGGGTCCTGGGATCGAGCCCCGCATCGGGCTCCCTGCTCTGTGGGAAGCCTGCTTCTCCCTCTCCCGCTCCCCCTGCTTCTCCCTCTCCCGCTCCCCCTGCTTGTGTTCCCTCTCTCGCTGTGTCTCCCTCTGTCAAATAAATAAACAAAATCTTTAAAAAAGAAAAGAAAAGAAAATGAGTGTGATAGTACTCATCGTGCGGGGCTATTTGGAAGACCAATGAGCTCATAGGTAATGAAAGAGCACTTGGAAACTAATGCTCAATTAGTTATTTTTGTTAGATATCACACTCATTTGGGGTAAAAAAAGTGGGTTTCTTTCAAAGTTCTTTGCTGAGTCTGGTTTCTGTACAATAGTTAGAATAAAAGATGTCAGTATCTCCAAGTTGATTTGCGTGTCTGCCATAGACTAAGGCAGCTTCCCCTAAGAGGACTGGTGTTGTGGCACCAACCAACCTGAGTGAGCCTAGGATGAAACACGAGGCACACGTTTAAAGTAGATAACTCTTTTTTTTTTTTATGTTATGTTAGTCACCATACATTACATCATTAGTTTTTGATGTGGTGTTCCATGATTCATTGTTTGCGTATAACACCCAGTGCTCCATGCAGTACGTCCCTCCTTAATACCCATCACTGGGCTAACCCATCCCCCACCCCCTCCCCTCTAGAACCCTCTAAAACCTCTAAAACAATTTTGTTTCTCAGAGTCCATCGGAGGTAAAATAGATAACTCTTAAAAAAAAAAATAGATAACTGGACCAAGCCCATTCTTGTGGTTTTATGTGTGTGTAAGAGCAGAATCCTGGAAAGCACAAATATGTTTTATGAGATGACAATTTTATGCTTACGTAATCTTAAATTCATGCAAAGAATTTTGATTTAGACTCTTTGAGTAAGATATTAAGTGTGGTCCCTTGATCATGTTTCTTGTTTCTCAAAAACAAGAGATCAAGAGTTTTGACCTACTAAATACTACCCTTTAATTTCCCTTGTTTTGAATGCATTTTATTTGATACACTAATTCTTTCTCTGTATTTCTCTTCATTGATATACAGTATTTTTTACTGAGAATTCAACTTTAAAAGTAGCAGTTTTAAGTTGAAAGACAACTTTTAAGGCAGTATACCTCATCTTTCAGAACAATAGTTTACAAACATGTGTTTTTAAAGTGGCAAGACATTTTGTTCAAAGGAAATAATAGACAGATATCCAGAAATGCTAAAAAAAAAAAAAGGGAGGGGAGTGGGGCGTGGAACTAGAATGACTGAGTGAGAGAGAGAGAGAGAAGGAGTATGTGTGTGTGTGCACACGCGCGCACGGGTTAAAGATACAGAGTCCAACTTACTGAACTGCCCCTTCTCCAGTGCTCTTATGACAATTTCCATTAGTGGTCAGTGAAATCTAATAAGTATTCTCACGATGTGGGATCCATATGCTAAGGCTGACCTACAACAATGAGTCAGATCCATGTTCACCTCTCTCTTGCACAGTTACCAAAAAGAGCTGAGTGGAAGTTCAGAGGACAGAAATGGTTCCCCTAGGATTTCTCTTACAGCTATCTGGTTATTATGAGTCATGCCAGGATTACAGTTTAGGATTTGGAGACATTTATAATAGGAAATAAGATAAGAGAACTTGCAATGGCTGGGTTGAGAGACGTGCTCACAGCAAAAAAGCGGGTTGCTTGGCAAAGAAGTTAATTTCTGAACTTCCGTGTACAAAGATGAAGTGAAAGTCACTCTGTATTGAAAAGCACCATGATGTGTTCAGTTTCTTCTGTAGCGAAAATAATCTTTGTGTTGTATGTTTCAATTTTTATCTATGTGTGATTGTATAGTGACATTTTCTTTACCAGCCATGAGTCATCCAATTCCTCACCCTGGCATAAGTTAATAGATCTAATAGCTATTTATCCTAAAATGTATATTAAATTAAGGTTTTTATGGCCACACTCCTCCGCTCAGATAAATTCAAATGTGTATGGAATGAAAGGCAATTTACATATGGCATTGTTAGCCTCTGATATCTAGGAAAAGTATTGAAATACTTATTTCTTAAAAAGAAACCAAGAAAGATATTGAAAGTCTTTCCCATTTGTTAAAGGAAAAGCAGAGTTCACTTCGTCACTCTACGGCTAGAAGACCCTGTATGTCTTTTGGCATATTTAATATGAATAAAAAAAGATCAAGCAGCAACTTTTATTTAACATAGACTAGGTGTTGGGGATTATCTTTTATAAGCTTTTCAGCCTAGGAAAGCTTCATAAAAAGCTCAGTTCAAAAATCTTCACTAACTAGTTACATCGTTGTTCTAATCATTCTGATCTTCTCATACTTATTACTTTTTATCTAATTATGTTTCACATCTTCTCTCTTTTGCTCTTGTTAATGTTTTGCTTCAAAAATTTAAGGTGTCTTACATGTGCATATTTTATCTCTAAAACCAGACCATAAATTTCACAAGGGTAGACCTCTTCAGTGTC